GTGTAGGTATATATATATATATAAATCATTTAAGATGATTAATATTATCATTCTTATTTGGCATATCTTAATAGGCTGGTTGTTAAATTAATGATATGCGTATAATATGCATGTGATGGCTATGTATGATTTAGCGTATTGTTAATTTTAAAGTTAATTCATGGTTAAAGTGTGGGCATGGATGAATTGTCAAATGATTAAATATATTACCTAAATATTTGTATGAATAGAATACATATATGGAAAGTATGGATGAATTGCTAATTAAATGTATGAATAAATATACCTGTGGAGGCATGGTTGAATTGCCAATGTATAAATATACATACACGGAGGCATGGTTGAATTGCCAATGTATAAATAAATATACTTATGGAGGCATGGTTGAATTGCCAATATATAAATAAAAATATTTACAATGGCATGGTTGATTTGCCAAAGCATAATTACGTTGTTATGTGTTAGATGATTAAAATATCATCTATGGTTGTTGTATGTATGGATTGGATTAAGATTAGATATTCTTAAATGAGAATAGTTTAGTACTTACTGGTTAGTGTATTATGTTACATTAATAAAATAATATTGGGGAAGACGTGGATGATTTGTCGAAACTTGAATTTTGGATATGTGATTTAAACAATTAAAATCATTATCGGGTTGGGATTAAATAGAGTATTTCTTTTATTATAATTTGTTGTTTAAATGATTAGATAACTGACTAGGATGGGATTAAGGTCAAAGGAGTTTTTATAAAATGAAATGGTAGATTGGTCTAGGTATGAATATTATTTTAATAATTATTTAATAGGTATGGAAATTTAATAAACCTATTAATGGATGTGATTAGTATAGTATATATAATTATATATAGACATGTATATCGTGCTTTATTAAAGTTAAAACTTTATTAGGTTTGGTTTTGATCAGAGATGATCTGCTTATTGGTTTTCAGAGGCCTGGTAGAGTGAACTTGCTCGTAGGGTTTAACCCACGATTTATTTTTCAGGTTATTAGAGGTTCCAGTCTCGAGGTTGAGGATCCGCAACTGGGAGACTGTCATTCGTCTGTTCATCCTGTGTACTTTTAAATAGTATTGGATTATTGGATAATGTTTTAAGGGGTCCTTAAGTTATGGGATTTCCGAATTGTAATTGTTGGAGAATCATTAAGTAATATTTATTTATTAGTTTTCTTCAGCGGTTTATTTATTCTTTATTATTCATCTTTGTATTCTGTGCTTGTTAAATACTTAAATTGTTTTGATATCCCTTGATTTTGTGCGCGGACTTGATCAATTCGTGTTCCAAAATTAGGGGGTATCACAGATTATATATATATATATATATATATATATATATATATATATGTATATATACGCCATGATATGAGCTTGAGTCTCAGGATCAATGATTAGGGTGCGTATATTGTCAGGGATGTGTAACTAGATATAATGTAGTTGTGTGCCCTGGTAAGTCTAGGTACTCATGCCTGCTATATGTGCGTTTTGCATGTTGCCTACTATTCAGGTTGAGGCAACTCTAAAGTCTAGTGAAGCTCCTTTAGTGTGTATATATCTATATATGTACTATATAGTTATTGTTGAATTAATTAGGATGTATACATGTATCGGGTCTCTATTTGGGATGTAGTAATTTATAACTTGTTTGTGGGCTTGACCCACCATTATTTTTCAGGTGTTCGTCAGTTCCAGACTCAGAGGTTGTTCGTACTGAGCAAAAACAGTTTATTCACTCTTCCGATTCTACGTAGGATTCATCTTTATATTTTAGTTATGGATTTGGATTGTTTATTTATTTCCAATTTGTTTTATTAGGGATCCACAGTATAGATTCCCGAATTGTAGTTTAAATAATTACTGGTATTAGAGGATTAGAGGATTTTATTATGGGATTATTTAATTATTATTTATTTAAGGATTATTTATTTAGTTTTCTTTTCAGCGAAACTGTTTATTTTTTATTATTCTTTTTGTATTATGTGTTCATTTACATACTTAATTGTTTGGTATCCCTCAGATCTGTGCTCGGATTTGATCATCTGTGGCTCTAGAAACGAGGGGTATCACACGTGTTAAGGACTTCATTTTGATCGGAGTAGATCTTAAATTGGCCACCCTTTGAATTTTGAAAATTAGGGGTTTTCTTGGCTTTGATCTTTAATATTGAGGTAGGGGTTCTCTAATTCAAATTTGATTTGGTTCTTGTGAATTTCCTTTCTTTGAATTGCTCATAAGCATATTTGATTTGGTCATTTATCATGTGGAAACTAGGGTTTCTATTTGATAATGTGGATTATATGAGTATTTAGTTCAACTACATGTTTCTTGAGTTGATATGATCAAATTTATTCAAATTGTGCCATGATATGTTCTGTATGTTTAAGATGTTCGTTTAAAAGCATGATATATAAGTAGATGGTTGAGAACTTGTGACTTATGTGAGATTTTATTGTTCGTTTAACAATTGTGAAGCGTGAAACATTCATGCATTTATTGGGACGAAAAATGGATCAGAATTTCTATTCTCGTAGCACTTAATGGGTAGGTCAAGTCTTGTCACCTTTTCCAAGGCCACATACCTTTCTGCATCATCTTCTTTTACTCCAACCTCATGATCACAATTGGCCACTTGAGTAGTATTTGAATTTCCCATATTCAAGTTGGCGTCAACTGCCACATCAATTCCACTTTGAAAATCCATAAAATTAACATCAGTTGACATGCCACCTTCAACAAATATTGGCCCAACAGTATTAGTAGCACACTTGATTTGCTTTACAAGATCAGTAACAACAATTTTATCCCTTTCCTTTCTAGGTTGTACAAAAGCGACTACTTCATCCCTTTCATTTATTTTTTCCTTCTCTTCTTTTAAGCAATTACCTTGGGGTGTTATTTCTTGGACGTATATAATTTTATTATTACTTTCTCCCTGCTTGCAAACCATTCCAGCATTGGAGTATGTTGAACTTTCGAAGGCATAGGGCTGAACCTTTCTACACCTTGGTCGATAATCCTCATACGACAGAAATTGAATCTTCTCATATTCCTCATAATCTAGTGGAAGAAATTTGGCTTTCAAAAGACATTTCATCTTCAACTAAGATCGTATTGATGCTTTTCTTTGTCATGCACGAGTGACCCGTAGATCCCACCAAACAGAAGCTCTTCCCTTTAATTTGTATGCGACTAGTGCTACCTTTTTAACCTCTGGAATCCCCATGTAATCAAAGAACCTCTCAAAATCTTCTAGCCAATCTAAAAAATCTTCAACATGAAAGAGACCATCAAAACTTCTAGGAGGAAAATTCCTAGAATCATAATCCCCATAATTATGATATCTTCGTGCGTCTCTATGATCCCTAAACACCTTTTCCTCATAGGCTGACTGACTATGCGGAGGGAAGGGTTGCGATTACGAACAGAATGAACACGATTTACGTTATTGCGCAACCTATTGTTATTGCGGCTTTGCTCTAGACCCAACTTAAGCCTAATAATCTTTGCTTGAATATCTTGCAACGTTTGCTGGGTTTCAAGTTGATCGTCTTGAAATTCAGCTCTAAAAGGAGCCATTCTCTGTCGATATTCGTCGTCAGCGAGGTTGCCACGAAAACGATCACCTGCCATCAAACCAGGAAAAGACAAGGCTCTGATACCAACTGATGTAAGCGGATCGATAAATTTGTTCACAAGGAACATGTTACTTTGAATCCACAAGGTGGGTGTTTTGAATCCACAAAATAGAAAGAGAATTCAGAGAAATTTGATATATAATTTGATAATTGAATCAATAAAAGGTTCATTCTGCACTTTGCAGTACACTTATTTATAATAATAGAAACATAACTCTACAATAAAACGGAATAATAAAAAAACTTAAATAGCAAAGGGAAAACAATTCCTCAAAGAAATTAAATAAAACTATACTTCCTATAAAAAATATAAAAATAAAATAAATAAGAAATCTAAATAATAAAAATTACTAAGTGGATAAAATTGTCCTACATCAAAATTGGGAATTGTTTTATGCTTTCTTTTCTTTCATAAACAAATTTATATTAGAAAAAGGAAAATTATAAGAGAATATAAGAAATAAAAAAAATTAAGAAAAGAAATTCTATGCTTTGTTCAATAGGAAGCAATGAAGAGATGCAGAAAGAAAAAAGGAATGAAGAAAAAAATTTTCTTATTCGATAGAGATGATATAGGGAAATAAATGAGAATAAAAGGGAATGAGGAATGTGTTATCATTCACTGTTTATAAATTTTCATTCGTCCAAAAATGAGTGGAAGAGAAAAGGAAGAAAAATGGACTATTATAGAAGTTCTAAATTAAATACTATCCTCTATAAATTATAATTTTATAGATATCACTTAATATAATGATAAAAATAATTTAAAACTTTATATTTCCTTCTCTCCAATGAACATAATAAAGTGTAAGCTTAATTCTTCTTTCTCATCTAACCGAACAAAAAAAAAAAAGTAAAAATGTCACGTCCTCTTTTTTAGAGATGTCTCGTCCATTCCTTATTTTCTTCCTTCAATTTAATTATTTTTATTTTTATTTTATTTTATTTCCTACCTAGCATTAGTATCATTGCGGGAGATTGAAAGTATAAAGCCGAAAAATAGTGGATCTATTTACCACATTATGCTACCATTAACTATATATCTCACCTTATTGGTTAAACAGATAACAAGATTAACAATATTCATATAAAAAATTAGCAGGAATTTTTACTTTTTTTTTTCATGCACTGAATAATTCCTTTCAATTCTAAATTCAAGCCGTGGGTAACTAAATTTTTTAAATTCTAAATTCAAAATTCAAGTTGGGAAGATGCTCTAATCGCAAACATAATAATATTTTTCTATACAAAAATAAAAGAGATTTTATTTATTATTTATTATTTTTATATATATATAACAGTGAAAAATGAAGCAAAGGCCATATGTCACATTTCCACCCGGTTTTTTTTTTCTTCTGAAAAGCAGAGGTCGGTCCCTACGCTTTTACCACTCAGTGGACTAAAACCCTGCATTTTGTAAATGAGAGAAAGTGGTAGGACATTCCCTTCCTCTCCTTTGCTTGCCTCAAACAGCAATTACGACTAGGGTTTTGTTTTGTTTATTAATTCATCTGTGTGTTGTGGGTTTCAATTGCAAGTCCAAGCAGCGACCTATTGGCGTTGCTGAGAGGGGTAGGGTTTCAACTTCAACCCTAGATTTTGCTTCAAATCTAGGCTTTACGTGGAGGGTTTTGTTTATTTATTAATTCATAATTTCTGTGGTGTGGGTTTCAACGATTTTGATCCAACAACAACAACGATTTTCTACTGGTTTGAAGCTATTCTGATTTTTATGATGACGATGTTAAAGAGACTTATTCACTACGTTTCGATGATAACGAAACATTCTTGGAGTATGCACAGCTTGACTTGCCATTGAAGAGCTATTGCAACCATTATTTTCGGATAATTGGTAGCTGCAATGGCCTCATTTGCCTCTCAGACGATCAGTTCATGTATATCAATGATCTCTTTCTTTGGAATCCTACCATTCGAAAGGTTTTGCCCCTTCCACGCGTTCGTGTCACCTTCGATTCGCACGGTCCATTCAGTGCCAACATTGGCTTTGGGTTCGATTCAAGCAATGGTGATTACAAGGTTGTCCGAATTGTGCATTTCGATAATTTTCACAAGCCACAGGAGATTGACATTTTCAGTCTCAGCACCGGCACTTGGCGCAACATTAGTCATGTGGCGCTTCCAGATATCAACATCAATGAGCGGGCTACCCAGGCTTTTCTCAATGGGGCTGCACACTGGGTTGCTTCTAAATTGCCTAGTTATGGCGGCAGCTTCTTGATCGTGTCCTTCCACATGGCTCATGAAAAATTTAGTCAAATTATGCTGCCTCATAACATCATGGCTCATGCCAGTGGCTTAGCATCAATGCTGATGTCAAGTGCTCTTTATTTTCGTGTTGCTAAGTTTCAGGAATCACTCGCTGTCATCCACTTTAGTGGTCGAGAAGACAATACTTGTTGCATTTGGGTGATGAAAGAGTATGGCGTAAGGGAGTCTTGGACTAAGCAATTCTATTTTAATATGGCTGCTGGAAAATTCAATAACCTTGCTGGATTCACAAGGAAAGGCGAACTTCTACTGGCAACTAGTGATGGGTACTTGGTAGCTCATGATCCCGAAGCCGGAAGAACTACCCATCTTTTAATTCGTGGGACTACAGATCAATATTATAGGCACTCATTTTATGCAAATGCTTACACGGAGAGCCTAGTTTTACTTGGAAAGAGATTTTGTGATACAGGCACTTCTGAGGAATCATCACCTGGAGCTGTTGAAGGGAGGTGTGCAGCTGAGGAAATCAAGAACAGGCAAGATGCACCATGTCACTTATTTTTACATTCTATAATTGCTATTTGTTAAATTCTTTATTGCTTCTTATGAATGTCATCATAACCTTAGCATGTAGCATAAACTTAAAACTTAAAAGTTTTATGGTCAATTACTGTTTCATTTTAGTAGTTTTATAGGAGTAATAATTATTTTAGAGGGTAAAGTGCAATAAACCCCCCTCAACTATGTCCCAGTTGCAAGAACCCCCCAAACTACAAGTTGCCCCCTTGAACTATTGAATTGTTGCAATTAAGGACAGATATGACATTTCCGGTCAGCTGCTGAGAACGGAATTAGTTAAAGACACTTTTACACCCTATATAGCACCATGCCGTTCCACAATTGTTTCAAGTTGTAAACTTAGGTGGATGATGTGTATGGTGTAATTTCAAGAACCAATCATATTACAACAACTGGCCGAACCCCATGGTAAAAACCACATTTCACATAATTGGTTAACCATATATATATATATAGTCATGTTCATATTCCCACACCAGAAAATTCAGAGTAGGGAAACAAACACAGCATCACAAATTCAGAGTGAGAGAGAAGAGGAAGAAGAATACCCATATTGTCTCATGGCAAATTCAGCGTATGATTTTCAACCAATTCGTGTCATCACTTTGTCGCAACAGTCCAATTTTGATTCAATTTTTTTTGGGGAAACAAGGGTATGGAACTCAGCCGATTTGAAGGCCAATACTACCGGTGTTGACATCCATCCATTCTATCAATATTTATTTTGGATTTTTATTTTCGCTACAACCACAACCACAACCACAACCACAACCACTTTCAAGAAATCCCCTACAATCCCTGTATAAGCAATGTTCTAAGCCAACAACAATCTAAAACTAATCTTCTTGTATCTCAGAAACCAATATTTCTCAAATGGTCCTTGGTCTCGAATCTAAAACTAGAGGTAAGGTAATTTCTCTTCCATGGAGCTCATTCTCTGCCACCAAAAAAACAACAAAATCAGTGTTTATTTGTGTTTGTATATACATACACACAGACAGACAGAGGCACACCCCTTCGCAAAATGGAACTATTTAATGATATATATTTATATATATATATGCATATATATAGGCAGATATAGTTAGATGATAGAGAGAAATAGAGTGAGTTAGGGATGCAAACCCATTCGCAAAACCCCAAGAATATATAGTCGCCTATCACCAATCAAACCCAATTGCAAACGCAAAATTCTCTGCCCATCATCTTCAAATCCATATAACAGATTTTTCAATGAAACCACTGCCGCTGCAACAGCCATGTCGGAGAGTCTCATCATCGAAATACCCATTCTCATAGCCATCGTATTCCTCATCAAGTCGTTGCCGTCGTCAAATCCGCAAGGTCTCGCTGCTGCGTGTATGACTGTTTATGTAACTATGTTTAGGTTTCACTGGTCTCAAACAGAGGGGATTGTTTGGTGACGGAAATAGAATTAGGGCATGTTTGGCTGGGGTTTGGTTTAACAGTAATAAGAAGTGTGGTATTTTAGTTTCATAAGGTCTGTATAGTCATTTAAATAAAATTGGGCTTTTGCGTAACAGACGCGGTTGTTAACGTTCCAAATTCAACCGGTCAATTGCCGGGCTGGGTTAATTGCAACGAAAGTGGTTAGTTCAGGGGGTTTTATGCAACTTTTGTAGATTAGGGGGGTTTCTTGCTAAAAGGGGCATAGTTGAGGGGGGTTTATTGCACTTTACCCTTATTTTAGATCTTGATATCTTATTGTGTTTGATGTCCAATGAATGTTGTCTTTCAGGTTTGTGACCGGGGTGGAAAATGAAAATGAGGAAACAAGTGAAGATGGAGAACTGGAAGAAGAGTAGAGCTGTAGAAGTTGCATAGTGAACTCTTCCCTTGCTTTTACTTGGTCTTACTTTGCTTACAATATATAAAAATATATCGATGTAGTTAAAAACTTTCTTTGTGAAAGATTTAATTCACGCATGATACTTATGAACTCTTGGAGCATTTGGGCTTGATATGCCTTGTGGATATTATGCTGAAAATATTTTGAATTGTTCATTATTACTTATCTTTTGATGCCATTATATATTTCTAGATTTTGTTTTGCGGTATGAGCTACCTTATGTTATATGAATTAAGTTGTCAAGAGCAGCTTCTGTAGGTTGAGTTGCTGGGTTTTGAGCCAAGCATTGAGAAGTCACTAGTTGGCGATACTTTGTATGAAATCATAGATAGTTTTCCCTTTGGCTCGGATATGGCGCACCCAAGGTTGTGGTCAGCTTGTTTCACTTGGTAGCAAATCTCGTGTTCAAACTTTGGTAAGGAATATCTTGCTCATCAACATGTTTGTAAGCTTAATGGGTCAAGCAAGGTCTGTTCAAGTTTGGTTCACTCACTTAACGAGCTTTAAAATGTTAACTAAATTATACTTGCACTTCGATAACTAACATGGGCACAACTCTCACGAACTTCAACCTGAGCTGTTCGTAAATTGCTTGTTTCTTTTTCACCTCTAAGGTTAAAGGACCAGTTCCATGTGCCATTGCATAAATGGGATTAGCACCTTTAATTGGTGAAAAGACTATCCTCTAGATGGCTGACATGGTAGTAAATTAATTAACTAGAATGATATTTCAAGAGTTGTGCTATTCACCCCTTATTATTGTGTTCTTCCTTCAAGAGCTGTGCTACGCTCTAGTTTTTACTTTACTGTTATGCCCTATTGGAAGGCAAAACTGTATAAGATCTTACCTTATATAGGAAGTTGCATAATAAAGCTGATAAATTTAGTCAACCAGAAAAGAAGCCCGCAGTTATAGATGGTCGATCTAAGGTCACATAATCTTAAGTTGGTTCTCTTCTCTTGATAATTATTTTAAATTAATGAAAATATTTTATTCTTAGGGTGGGGCGTCATGCTTAGTTGGTTTTCCTACTTATCCAAGTAGTGACATTTACAAATCTGGTAGTGCAGGTCCTCTTTTCTTGTGGATATCCTCTGTTGGCTTGATACAAATTCATGTTGCCTACACAAATAAACAAAAATTAGTTTCCATGTCCATGTGAAGCCCACCTCTAGAACTGATCATAGCCTTTGTGCTCTATATACTCTGATTTGAGCTCAAAAAACGTGATGCATTTGATGAGAACACTAATTAATCAGCTAAATATCATTCATGCTAGATGCAATACAAGTTTTCTTTTTCCTGCTTCCTTTTTTTTTTTTTTTTGGCCTCTTCTGTATGTTATAGACACATTTTATGTGTTGTGATTTGAGTTACTAATATCTTTGATATGATGTGTTTCTTGATGGTATTCTCAGGTACTAGACCTTGTTTGCTCCATACACACTTTAATTGATAGTCAAACGCACATTACTTCAAGATTGATGGTAGTAATAAATGTATGTTGACTATTTCTGAGTCATAATTTCTAGTTTATAGGACAAGGTTCACACACTGCACCTCCCAAGGTTGCTAGCTTGCAAAGGCATTCCACTAGTGTAGATAACCCTGGGCATCAATTTCGTCTATTGTTGATTCATGAAATTCTATATATTGTTTTCTCTTCTTTCTTGCTGTCTTTAGTGCTTTATCGGAAGTCGTCGCACCGGATCGTTACACAGACACAGCGCCATAGTTTCCTGCTTCGCGCCAGCCCCTGTCTTGTGTTTGCTCGTGCTCATCTCTCTCTACCTAACGCAGTGAGGGGTACGAACGGAACTCTATTCTATTCAATTATTCGTTCACTCATGTGCAAGACGACCTTTCCATTATCGGTCAGAAATCGCTCCAGACAATCGTCATATTCACCTTCAATCAACCAGTGACAAGAAAACAGCCATTTAGGATCTTTCAGATCTGATTGGAGGCGAGGATGAGGATCGGGAATAGACTTTCCTTTTGTTGGGGGAGAGGATCTACTCACTGATCGGGTTCACGCTGGGACGCACTAATGAGGAAAATGCACCAAACCAAAAGGCGGAAGACTAAGTTTAAGTAATGGGGTCGGCTTCGAAGCTGCAGTAAGTCGGGGTCCTTGTAGCTATCACATCCGAAGCGAGTGATTCAATCCAGCAGGGCCTTCACCTCTGCTACCTTGTTCCAATGATTGCTAGTGTATTTTGTTTTATAGTGTACACTGTAGTTAGACTCATGATCCTGCCAGCTCTTGAGAAGCTCCTTAAATGTATTCCAATTCTGTTTGTGGTTGATGCCGCTCTCCCCTGCCACTTTTTCTACATATTTTTCGTACGCGTCTACTATATCATCTATTTTGATATTCCATTTCATCATATCTTTCAAAGTCAAATTGTTTGGCAGTATCTCCGTAAGCATAGTTGTCAGATCTTTGCTTGTTATAGGTTCTGAACTGTCAGTAGTTTTTTTTTTTTTTTTTTTTGCTTTGAAAAAAGGCAGAAAGAGATTCTCGGATGAGACTAAGCAGCTACCGACCGTTCCGACGTGCCCCCTTGACCTATCTTGATGAAGACCGAAAACCTATCTAAAGTGGAGCCCAGTTTAAGCTGTCAAACAAATGATAGAATGGAATATGAATACTAAAGTGGAGTCTCGCTCAGTAAAGAGAGTTGTAGATTCGTAGAAAAGGGGAAGAGCCTTGACTTTCAAATGACTACTGCCTCTTCCTGCTGCAAGGGCGTTGCACGAAACCAAAAAACCGCCCCCCGCCCGATCAACAGGTGCTTCGCTGGTAGGCCCACTTAGGTTAGCTCTCTCGAGCCTCAGTTCTTACCAATCTCCGGTGTGTAATCGACATGTTGCTAGCTTCAACTCGGTCGAATAAGAATCCATTCTCGTGTTCAAGCGAAGGTTTCCAAGCCAGATCTCAATCAAAAGGATAGCTTGCTTGTGTTGGATGGACGAACTAATCGTAAATCAAAGACGCCAATCTAGAAGGGATATCCCGGATCTGCTGATACAAGGAAATGGAAACTCAACATCCACTTTTTGACTCAACAAAGCTTACCCAATGCACCAAGGCTTCACCTAGTTTCTTCTCTGGCCTTATTCCTTTTCTTGACTTACCCTGCCATATTGACTTCCAAGCAAGGTTGTCTGGTTCAACTGGAGCTACTTTCTCGTCAAGGACCTGGGATCCGTTTGACATCTCTCAGCTAAGGGATTGATTGCAAACAAGCTTACCAATACTACGAAAGTCATACTCGGATTGATTGCAAACAAGCGTACCAATACTACAAAAGTCATACTCTTACTTAATAATGAAATTTGTCTTACAAATTTAAAAAATGATGAGATCTGTTGAGACTCGTGAAATGTGGCTCAGGTTGGATGACATTGATCGAGGAAGAATTCAAAGGAATTCTTTATATATATATTTCCATTTTACAAACCACCTTAAGTCTGCTTAAAATGTACTTTGTAGGCAAATTAGCTACTTAAGGTTCTATTTGGCTACTTTGTTTTGATGAGAAATAGTTGCATTTTGCCTGTGGATTGCTTCTATTGGAGTCAGATGAGACCCATCCTTCAACAAGCTCAAGGTGATTCCTACACTTGAAGATCTGCTTTTGATTTGTACATATATGATATCTATATATATAATGAGTTTGCATTAGGTTTCAGTGATGCCTTATGCTTGCAGACTTGGGCTTAAATCAAGAGATGTGCTGCGACTTAGAGGTGGAATGTGGGTATGAACTCTTACTTGGGGCCTCCTTGTTATGATATCATTTCAGTAGTTAAAATCTAGTTCGTTTAACTCCAACGTCTTAGCCAAACCAAGAACATAGAAACATATATATTTTCTACTTCTAGAAACTGGTTTCTCTTATTCTTCATTATTTTATTTGTCTATTGATTCATTGTAGTGCAATGGATGTACACATGCTGCTATATATCTGTTAACATATTTTGATCTATTGAATGTTCCCTTTCACAAAAGAAAAAATATTGCCAGAAAATAATAATGCGTTCTTATCATCCATTAAGATTTAATGGTGTTCTTCTGGAACTGTTAGATGCGCAGTTATGCTCTGGGTTTTCTGTACGCTTCCTCTTCTGGTTTCTTTATTCGTTTATTTCTGATTGGGGTTGGGTGGTCTCGGAGGTTGGTTTGCTTGATTGCTGTGTAGTGGCTGGCTGTTAGCTCTTGATTCAGTTGCTAATGGTGTTTCCTCATGTGTTGCTGTGTTTTCTATTTGCTTCTGCTAGTTGCTGCTGTAGTGTTGAGCAGGTGGCGCTTTGATGTTTTGTTGGTCTGATCGGCAGTGATGATACTGCTACAGTGCTTTGGATGTGCATCCTGCTTATGGCTTGTGGATTTTCGGAGGTTGATAGTCGTGGTTCTAGACTAGTTTTGCTTTTGATGGCTGCTTGTGTTGTCTTGCTGTTTTGTTTTCTTTGGTTTTGCCTTGTTTGGAGTTGTCTTATGCCTGTTTGTGGTGTTTCTCTCCAAGGGTATGCCCTCGAGTATTTTGTACTATAATGTTTATATCTATAAATTTCTCCACTTTACCCAGGAAAAAAAGAAGACGAAAAATAAATAAATAAATAAATTTAAGTATGGAAAGTGGGTGTTGATCATAATTTCACCCACCTGATTTTCAGTTTGTTCTTGTTGCAGCAAGGATGTTGAATTTGGCATGAATAAAACCCCATTTCATTATTCTATAATCTTGACTATTATCTGTCTTTTTATTAGCTATGGAAGACATCGATAAAGATTGGCATCTTTCAATTGAGCCTGTGCCCTTAGCAAGCCATTTATATTTTATAATTGTTTACAATGATTTTATTTTATTTTTTCATTCAGAAGTTAAGGTTGATTCTGGTCTGGGAGATCCAAAGTGGGAAGTTTAGTCCAACTAAATGGATACTCCTCCTGCTTCATTCTACTGTTTGATTACCTTATAAATTTTCACAAAAGATATTTTTTACTAAATGGATACTCCTCCTGCTTCATTCTACTGCTTCATTCTATTGTAAGTTAATAAAATTTTATCAACAAATAAAAAATTTCGTGCTTATATTGTAGTAAAATTTTATAAGAAAGTTAGGTGATTATGGAAATTAATTTTTGCTCAATTATTATTATTATTTTTCCTAGCTAACCAAACCTCTGTTGTAAGTTTCAATGTGAATTCTATTATTAGTTTCAATTTTTTGAACTTTTTCATGCTAATGAAATAAATGATAGAATATATATAAACTGTTTTTATTAATTCATCTGTGTGCTGTGGGTTTATTAATTCATCTGTGTTGTTGGTTTTGTTTGTTTATTAATTCATCTGTGTGTTGTGGGTTTCAATTTCAAGTTCAAGCAGCGACCCATTGGCGTTACCTCTGTTGTAAGTTTCAATGTGAATTCTATTATTAGTTTCAATTTTTTGAATTTTTTCATGCTAATGAAATAAATGAGAGAATATATATAAACTGTTTTTATTAATTCATCTGCGTGCTGTGGGTTTATTAATTCATCTGTGTGTTGTTGGTTTTGTTTGTTTATTAATTAATCTGTGTTGTGGGTTTCAATTTCAAGTTCAAGCAGCGACCCATTGGCGTTACAGAGAGAGTAGGGTTTCAACTTCAACCCTAGATTTTGCTTCAAATCAAATACGAGTTCATCTATATGGAGTGGTGTGGGTTTCAACTTGAAGCAAGCAGTAGATTGGAAGAAGAAAATGTCAGACTACTTCCTGTTCCTACCCGGAGATATGCTGGTCGACATTCTTGCTAGACTACCCGCTGAGACTCTCGTTCGATGCACATCTGTGTGCAAATCATGGTATTCTCTCATCACAAACCCTAGTTTCATCACCAAACACCTCAATCGATCCAAAAACAACCACCTTCTACTTGTTCGAAGCTGCACTGATCCTTGTGTTGGCGATGATAAAGAGCATTATTCACTGATAACGAAAGGTTGTTGGAGTATGCAGAGCTTGACTTGCCATTGAAGAGCATTTGCAGCCATTATTTTAGGATAATAGGTAGCATCAATAGCCTCAATGATCTCTTTCTCTGGAATCCTTCAATTCGAAAGGTTTTGCCCACCGGTTCGTGTCAACTTTCAATCCCACGGTCCATTCCTTACCAACATTGGCTTTGGCTTTTCAGTGGCACTTGGCTTGCGTATTGATTGTTCCAGTCATACGAATATTGAATTGCTTAGTCCAAGAATCCGATGCTAAGAAGTCATATTGTCCCAGCCAGTGATTCCTGAAAATTAGCAACACTATAATAAAGATCATTATTATATATATAATTTCACCAAAATTTTCATGACCAATGTGGAAGTAGACGACCAAGTAGACAATGTCATAACTACTACACTCTTCTCAAGTTGTTAATTTTTGGGAACCGCTTTGATCAGCTTTACTCTTCTTAAAGAAGACAATATGACGTAGCGGATTCTTGGCCTAAGCAATTCATGGCTTCACAAGGAAATGTGAACTTCTACTGTCAACAAGTTATGGGAACCTGGTAGCTCATGACCCCGAAACCGGAACCGGAAGATCAACCTCTTTTAATTCGTGGGACTACAGATCAATTTTAAATGGAAAGATCATCTGGGGCTATTGAGAGGTGGAGTGGAGCTAAGGAAATCAAGAACACGCAAGATACACAATGTCACATATTTTTACATTCTATATTTTCCATTTGTTAATTTCTGTTATTGCTTCTTATAAATGTCAAACAACATTTTAGTATCTATGGTCAAATACTGTTTCATTTTAGTATCTTTGTAGGAGATATATTCTTTTAGATCTTGATATCTTATTGTGTCTGATGTGCAAGGAATGTTGTCCTTCAGGTTTGTGAGCGGGGTGGAAAATGAAAACGAGGAAACAAGTGAAGATGGAGAACTGTGAAAAGAGTAGAAATTGCATGGTGAACTATTCCCTGCTTTTAGTTAATTTTACTTTGCTGACAATATATAAACTATATATCGATGAAGTTAAAAACTTTCTTTGTGAAAGGTTTTTAGTCACTTGGTACGCTTTTGAACTCTTGGAGCATTTGGGCTTGATATGCTTAAAATATTGTCAATGATCCATTATTGCTTATCTTTTGATGCCATTATATCTTTCTACATTCTATTTTGCAGTATGAGCCACATTATTACATGAATTAAGTTGTCAAGAGCAGCTTCTTTTGGTTGACTTGATATTAAGTTGTCAAAAGCAGCTTTTTTTGGTAGACTTGTTGGGTTTCAAGTCAAGCATTGAGAA